AAAACTGAAGTGTCATTGTAAAAAATAATTGAATTTTTTCTTTATAAAAAAATTGTTTGGATTATTTTTGGGCCTCTCAATTATGAACTCGAAGCGATTGTCTTTCCTAACTTAAATTAACATCAATCTATAATTTGTTATAAAATAATATATTAAAATATAATAATATTACAAGAGTAATAATCTTTTATTTTTTGGTATTTGTTTGTACATACAATTTTTGGATTAGAGTTAGTCGCTATGATAGTTTGGTTGCTCCCATAATCTTATTGTCTCCTTGATAGCTTGATCTTGTACTCATCATTTTTTTATGTTTGTTGAAGGAGATGAAAATGTAGTCACACACTCGCGCTTATGCTCATGGAATGACGATAACTACCATCGTCACCCCTCATACTACAAATTCACAAGGTACCACTTCATTTTGTATGAAACCTTTTTTTCTTCTATATGATATGATTTTTTCAACTCAACTATTCAAATATATTTACTTAGCTAATAAATCTTTTTTATTATGACATTTTTTCTATCTCATTTCGATTATCATTTGTTGCTTTATTTCTTGATGTTGGTGTTATCCCTTGTTCTAACTCTCATCAAATGCCAAGTATGTTATTTTATTTTTTTCAAGGCTTGTGTTATGTGAATTTAGAATTGTGAACTAAATTTTGACTTGATGTTGTGAATTGAACTAAGAATTATGTTGGCTTGTTGTTGCTTTATAATTCATTGTGGGAATTGTAAATTAAATGAGTAAACTTTTTTAATTTTGAATATTAGAGTTAGGAATGTTGATACTTTTGATAGTATAAAGAATGATTTAAATACAATAAAAATTCCGCCTAACATAAAGAGAAAGTCTATCGTTGTAACTAATCCTTCTATTATTACTATTACTATTGATGATAAAAGCAAGAGTAGGGTTGTCAATAACTAAGACCAGGATATTCAAAAGACTAAAAAAAAGTAAGCTTAATACACCTTTGATATATGAAATTATTATAAAAAGATTGGTCTAGTTGATGGGTTGGATAATGCAAATGAATGGTTGTGAAAAATTGTAAATATGTAAAGCTATTAAGTGTTTCATAACAATATATAGTATTAATTAATCATGTTATAATTTTTTTTTGTAAAAAAGAAAATTTAAATAGCCTAATTTGTCTCGATGGCCTGACATACACCAGTTTTGGCCAAAAAATGGTAGCTCAAAAAAATATGGGTCAAGTTAGTCTAACTTAAAATAACATTTAGCTCATATAAGTCAGGTTAGGTCAGGTCAACTTGACCTATTTGACACCTCTACCGTGAAGAGTCAATCTAAGTGAATTAGGTTGACTCGCCTTAACACCTCTTAAAACACTCATTAATACTATCTTTGTTCTCTATTGTATGTAAAAATAAAAAAAAAACAAAAAAAAAACACAAACACACACACACACAAATGTTTTGTTCTTAAATATAAACAAATTTCATTCAACTAGTTTTGTTTCATCTAATGATATATTTTCTAAAATATCACTCCTCTAATGCATGACTTTTCAATAGCTCTACTTTGTTTTTTGCATTTATAACAAGGATAATTTAGGAAAAATATTATGAAACTAGTAAAATCTAATGCAAATGAGGTATAATTTTTTTAAGTTGACAATTAGTGATTAATCTACCTCACATGGTGTAACTTTTGTTGGTCAAACATTATTCTAACCCAGATAAGATTTGAATCTAAGAATACTAGATCGACCTCCTTGCATCCTATATTAGACCTTATAACCATTAGATCAAGTGACTAAGTTAAAAATCAATTTGTTTTACTTATAAGAAAAATCAAGGTTATAATAAATAACACAGGGAATACTTATCAATTTTGTTTATCTTTCTTATTAAATTATATTACCCTTTATGCTTATATATTTTTTTTAAAAATAATACTTTTTATAGATGTTAAATAGATAAATAGACTGGTCAAACCCATTTAAAATCTGGTTCATAAAATTTTCATTTTTAACAGGTTAAATAAGTCTATTTTACAAATAAACGAACTAATTTTTCTAATTTGAGTGCAACCCGTAAAGCTCACAAGTATACAAACCTAATTATAGCTACTTTTTTACAAATACTAAAAAAATCAATAAGATTTATTTTCTTTTTTTTTTACTCTACAAAAATATGAGAGAAAAGATACATAAAAATTAATACAAATACATATATAATATAAAAATTAATATAAATACATAAAAATAATTTATTGATAAATGAGCCACCCACAAGATTCGCAGACTAAGCCTGCAAAATTTCCAAACTTCGCAGGTTGGTAGAAACTTGGCTATTCTTAGACATATGAGGATTACTACATCCTCCGACCGAAAAATTCGAAACACGTTTCCTAATGTTTAAAATATTTATACTTTTTAATAAATTTATTATAAAATAATTATTTAATTTAATATTTTATAATTTAAAATATTTTTTTATGATTTCGGAAGAATTTTTGGAATACAATTAGGAAGATTTAGAATTTTTCTATAGATATTTAAAATAATGGTTAAAACCCTATTTTGGTCCTTTATAATCTTTTTTTGTTTCAATTTAGTCTTTCATTAATTTTTTGTCTCAAATTGGTCCCAAATTAATTAATTGGTTTCAATTTAGTCCCATATTAATTAATTCGTTTCAATGTGGGACTTCCGTCCAAATTATTTAAACGAAGTTAATTTTTAGCCACGTGGATGCCACGTAGATGCATACGTGGCACCCACGTGGATGAGAAAATTCTTTTTAAGACACCTGGACCCGGAACGGCCCGTTCTGAAACCGGAACGGGCCGTTCTGGTTGCAAAATTAAAACACCACCAGTGAAGCAGAACGGGACGTTCTGAAATCAGAACGGGCCGTTCTGCTTTCGAAATGGTCCGTTCTGAAATCAGAACGTGCCGTTCTGGTTTCAGAACGGCCCGTTCCAGAACTGTGAATAAAATATTCTTTACTTAATTGTATTTTTGATATTATAATTATGCAATTTTGATCTCTAAGGTTTTAATTGAGTAATTTCAGTCCTTAAAAGATTATAATTGTGTAATTTTAGTCTCACAATTTTAATCTCTCAAATATCATAATTGTGGAATTTTAGTCTTTCTCATTAAAAATTTAATAATTTTAAAATTTTAATATATATATATATATAGTTTTAAAACTATATAATTGTTTGTTTATTTAAATTAACGTATATT